AGAGAGAAGGAGACAAGGAGCCACAGAGAAAAACAGGCTGGCCCGGAGATTTTAATGTGTTCATTTCCCAGTCTGACTGCACTGCACCTAGCTCTGAGTTCCAGCACCTAGACCTTGTCAGACCAGTGACTGCTAAGTTGAAGAGCTGCATATAAAAATTTCCTGCCCACCCAGGCACTTACGTATTTTCCACCTCCATTAAGCTTAACAGGCCATGTTTTCTCAAATCTTCTAGTAGGCTTATTTTTCGGTTTCTTAACTGGTCTGAGAAAGTTGAGCTCACTCATATCTCTTCCCTGATGATACATGGGGCAGGAACCAGAGCTTGCTGCACACTGCCCACAGTGATGACCTCACTTCAGTTGATCATGATGCATTCAGTACACACGGGACAATGCCACAGTCCTTCTCCTTCCACAAACACATGGACATGCCCTGACTACACTGTATTTCTTTTCAGAAAGGATGTAAGACACTAGAACAGGATGCGAAGAAGCACGTAGATGTGGCACTAAAGAGACGTGGATTTAGGGCATGGTGGCGATGGGTTGACAGTTGGACTATATGCTCTTAGAGGTATTTTCCAACCTTAATGACTCTATGATTCGTAAGCATATAAACTTTATATTTAGCCATATTAAAATATTGTCTTTGCCAAGTACACAAACGATTATCTGTCAGAAATTACAGAATCACAGAATCACCAAGGTTGGAATAGACCCACAGGATCACCCAGTCCAACCATCCACCCATCACCAACAGCTCTCACTAAGCCATGTCCCTCAACACAAAATCCAAACGTTCCTGGGCAGCCCATTCAGTGCCTGGCCACTCTTTCAGAGAAGTAGCATTTCCTAACGTCCAGCCTAAATCTCCCCTGGCACAGCTTGAAGCCATTCCCTCTGGTCCTATCACCAGTTACAGGAGAGGAGAAGCCGACCCCCAGCTCACTGCAACCTCCCTTCAGGCAGTTACAGAGAGCAGTGAGGTCTCCCCTGAGCCACCTCTTCTCCAAATGTGTCTCCTTGTTTACTACACTTTCAGTCTGTATCATCTCCAGACTTCAGCAGTAACTATCTCCTTGATCACTGCTCGAGAACCAAGAACCAAATCACATTAATGTGATAAACCTCTGCTTAATATTTACCGGCTTGAAACCTGGCAGACAATTTTTGTATTTTATATAGTTTTATAATCTATATAATTTTTGCACTTTGACAAGCAGTATCTACTTAGAGGTGAAAAGAAAAAAGCATCATCTCCTATGCTGAACAAATTACAACCAAAAACAGGAAAAAACATTTGGCCAGTCTATTTTGCCTACACTCACATAGATGAGCACCATATCTTTCTCCCTTAATTTTGAACTGATTGATTTGCAAGTCAGATGTTTATTATTTTTCATACAGTCAATTTTGTTTGGGTCATACAATTTACCTTTTGAATGCTGGCATAGCATTTGCTTCTTCAGCCTTGCAGCGCTCAAAAGTTAATGAAAAATATCAACAGTAAGTGTTAGTAAAATTTCATAGACAAAACTCTTGAATGTTCAGACTTTCTTACTTGAAGTTCTTCACTTTTAATTAGTGTGCAGAGCTTGTCTTCAGTAGCCATTAATGAACATCTTGCAAATATTTATTGGGATGAGAGTGGCTATGCTACTATTACTGTGAGACAGTAACTACGGAATGGTTTAATTGTCCCAACAACCTGGCCAGCTTTCTGTGTTACAACATTAAATGCCTAATGTATTTCCTCAATAACCCAAACAGATTTTATTAGTGTGGCTTCCTAACATGTTTCAAAAATTCTCCACCTCTTTTAGCTGTAGATTTCCCCTGTTATCATTCTGTACTGAAATAAAATTAGCTGCTTTCTGTAATCCAAGACAATTTCACTGATAACAGAATCTCAGTCAAGCTGATGCTGTTCAGATGTGTAAGATGAAGGCTTGGTAAAGCACTGGTTTTCCAGTGATGTGCTCCAGGACCAGATCCTCAGCTCTGAGGCATGCTCAAGCTCCACCAGGTGCTGCTTCCTGATCAGCAATCAGAAAAAAGATGGAGGCTGAAGAAGAGGAAGGTTTTTTTCCACAAAGAAGCACATCAGTCAGAATGAGGGATAGCTCCCCAGTTCCATTATCCTCAGCTCTGCTTCCCTTGTAGCTGACAGATTCCAGAACTGCATTTTTACCATCTCTAGGACAGTGTCTGAGAAGAAACTGGATAATTGTAGGGTGACAGTGCCACCCAAGTGATCAGTTCCAGCGACCAAGCGACACACTAGCAGCCTGGAAAGCGATGGTTACTTCAGGACTTCTAGCTACCAACATCAGCAAGCACAATTCAGTTGTACAGCGCACAAACAGAGGCAGTTCACCTGTGGCATGGGACAGCATTCAGCACTAAGTTGTTCAGTCCCAGTGGGAAGCAGAAAGGACTGACAGGACTGAGTGCAGTTCCCGCCACTCCCAGTACATCACACAGATTCTGAGAGCAGAAAACTAGGTGAAGTCTCTAGATTTGCATGCAAGTTGCCTACCTTTGCCAAAAGGGACCTCAGGGCAATTTTCCAGAGGAAGGGAAAAGGGAATCCAGTTCTTCTGGTGTGCACTGAGCTACGTGAAGCCACTGAAATATCTTCTACTTCACTAAACCTACTGCACTGCAATAGTGCGTGCATCATCGAGTGTATGCAAAGAATGAGGGCTCTTTGGAACAGACATCTTACAGTAGATCACAGGAAGTGGAGAGTTGTCACAAAGATGTGCCAGCCTCAAATTCTGTATCACAGACAACTGTCAGCTGCAGTGAAGTAAAGCTGCATGGGTCTGTCACGAGTAAAATTTTACATCAACTCTAAATGTTTCAAGCCTCAAAGGTTTAAATGCATATATTCATGATCTTCACAGTCTATTTGCCATATCAAATAGATTTTGAATATTTTAACATATGAACCACTAGAATGATTTAGTGTGATCTTCCAAAGAATATGTACTTGTTCATGGAAGTGGAAAATTTCAACTCTAAGTATCAAAATATTCAGAAGATTACGAATGTGGAAAATCAAAAGAGCCCAGATATTGTTCTGTAACTGCTGCCTCTTACAATGTAGAGAGTTCAGCTCTCCTATCCTTTACAAACCTCAGCTTCTTGGAAATCCCTGCTTAATTCTGCCAGGACATTACTTGTTCAGCTTCAAAGTGTTTCAACAACACCATGCAAGACACAAGCACTGCAGAAATCATTCTCCTAGGAACCACTAACACTATATTTAACACTAAATTATATATGACATAAGCACATTAGCTGACTTTTCCATCACTGGATAATAAATTTGAACAGAAGTCTCTTGCAATGACCAAAAAATAAAAAATAAAATAAAATTCAAACTGTTCCAGCCTTTCATTTTCTTGATTATTCACTCAATAATTGTGAATGGAGTTGATTTGGGAAATAAAAGTTTAAATGTTTAAAGATCAGAAAGTGGTTGAAATCTCTGACTGAACAATGCTAAACACTTCAGTGGTCCCAAGGAGTTAACATTAAAACCATGACTAATTCCTGATAAAAAAAAATCTAATGAATAATATCTGTTTAATAAACCACACGCAGCAGCAGAAAAAAATAGAGTATCAGTGGTAGGGATACCCTGGCAAGGCTGAATTTTAAAAGTGCATTTATTTCTACTAGGTTTAATTGCCAATTAATAAAATATTATAGTGATGATTCCACAGTATCAATAAACAGCCTTAGAGACAGTGAGAACAGTATGAGTAATATCTTTAGAAACAGAACAGAAAAATTCACAAAAGGATCATCTGACTTTCTGCTGTTTATTGGGCCCAAGCAGGAGGCATTCACCTGTGGAAGTGAAAAACTCAGGTGGACAAAGATGGGCTCTGCTCCCCCCGGCCAGCCCAACACAGTGCTCACTGCTCACACTGTTCACTGCTCACTGCCCTGGATGCACACGGTGCCTGCCACCCGCCGGTTCCTCACGTCCCCAGGAAATGTACACACAGATGTGTGAGGAGCCTTCCCCTCCCTGCTTAAAGGGGAAACCTTTCCTCAAAGGAGCCCAAAAGCCAACCTCAGTGAAGCTTCACAGAGAAAAGACAGCCATTTGATTGTAGCATGCTCTGCTGCTGCTGCTGCTGCCGCTGCTCCCCCATACACAAGTGTTGCTAAGCTGTAATGTTAGGTGATGTTCAGTATGCTGTCTGTGAGCACACTAACCCTTTGTTCCACGGGGCAGCCGTTGTTGCTATTGAAAAAGAAGGAATTATGCTACTCAGTGTCTTACACACCATGCATGTGAACAGCAAAGCGCTCTCCTTTCCAAAACAGTTTTTATCTACGGCACAGATAAAGCCAAACCTCATTAGGCTGCTGCAGTGCTTGTATTGGTGCGGAATGCTTCCATCAGCTGAAAATGGAAGCTTTCATCACAAAAACTCACCAGACCGACAAGTCTTCAGCATCACTTCCAAAGTAACAGTATGAAATCATCTCAGTGCCACACACACATCTTATACGTGAGGAATAACCATAACTGATACCTCTCTATGTACCAATAGGGATGCCTTCACTTTCTGTGCTGCCCTGCTGTACGATCAGGTACCACACATCAATACCTAATACAAGGAAAATGTGAAAAAAAGCTCCAAACAAACTGAGATCCTTGCACCTTGCACCGTAAATGAAAAGGAGTGTTTAACTCCAGAAGCACTACACACAATTTGGCCAGCTGATACTACAAACACATTGCAAAGCATTAAAAACAAGGTGCCCTTTAGAACAGCATTACTCATTTCTGCGCGGAACTCTCGAAACTCTGTAAACTTCCTAGGTGTAAGGACAGAAAGAGAAGTGGTTTTTATCCCCTCCTTCCCTCACACAGTTAAATGCAAATTCCCTCTACAGTCATATTCCTGCCATCTCCCTGCATACACAGCTGATACGCCACCTACTGCAAAACCCAGCTGACAGCCCGAGCAATGCTAGCAGCATTTCCATTCCAACATCGTGCCTGAGCTGAAGAAAGGTGCTCTTAAATAAAAATTTCTCTTTCCAAGCTGACAAGAACAAAGCAAGATCGCTGTGCCTGCTTCGATAATGGAGAGAAAATCAAACAGGAGAGCAAAGGAATCTGAAGAAAACCACAGCAACTTCGAGGGCTCTGAGCAAGACAAGGACTATAAAACGTCTCTGATTACTCTGAATGTTGGTGGCTATCTGTACATCACACAAAAACAAACACTAACCAAGTACCCAGATTCTTTCCTCGAAGGTATCATCAACGGAAAAATAATGTGCCCGTTTGATGCAGATGGACATTACTTCATAGACAGAGACGGACTCCTGTTCAGACACATTCTGAACTTCCTACGAAATGGAGAACTTCTTCTACCGGAAGGGTTTCGAGAAAATCAACTTCTGGCACACGAAGCAGATTTCTTTCAGCTGAAGGTTTTATCGGATGCAGTGAAATCGAGGTGGGAGAAGGAGCAGCTCGCATCTCGAGAGACCACTTTCCTGGAAATAACTGACAGCCACGACCGCTCGCAGGGGCTCCGGATCTTTTGTAACGCTCCTGATTTCATTGCAAAAATAAAATCCCGAATCGTACTGGTGTCTAAAAGCAGGCTGGATGGATTTCCAGAGGAGTTTTCAGTCTCTTCGAATATAATTCAATTCAAATACTTCATAAAGTCTGAAAACGGTACGAGACTTGTGCTGAAGGAGGACAACACCTTCGTCTGCACCCTGGAAACTCTTAAGTTTGAGGCAATTATGATGGCTTTAAAATGCGGATTCAGACTGCTGACCAGCCTGGATTGTTCCAAAGGATCTATTGTTCACAGCGATGCACTTCATTTTATCAAGTAATTACAAAGGCAGAGGAAACAAGCATGCAGTCGGCAGACCTCCTTTAACGGCAGCGTCCTGGCATCACAGATCTTGTATCCCACCAGCCCCGTACCACACAGCTCGGCTGCTCATCGGTTAATGTGAGCTAATGGTATGTAAATCTCCTAACGACATCCATCTCCGGCTTATTCGAGCTGAATGAAATTTTTATTACATTCAGGCATCAGATTTATCTGCTAACCACTGTAAACAGAGACCGAATGCTTTCTGGTATTTGTACTATGTTTTTCTCATGCTGTTTTTCAACCGGGAAGTCTCGCTGGATTTCTGTGTACTTGTATGACTAACACGCATACACCTAACTGCTGTGCCGAGCAGCACGGAGACTATTCTCATACAACAGGCAGGCTCACAGTATGTTCTGCTCCTCATGAATTCAGAATGGATTTTAACTGGAATAAATGTTTTTAAATGTTCCTTAGTGTTGATGCTAATTTGTTGTTACGCTGAATTTGCAAAAAGAAAAACAAAAAACCAAACGTGGTATTGAAAGAGGGTTTTAAAATTAATCTGCTTGATTCTAAAGTTAAACAACTCTGATTTTAACTCTCTTACAAAGAAATTTACAGCTGTGCTACTACATTAATAGCAACTGCTAAGAACATGTCAGCCAACCAATAATGCTGGGGGGTCAGTTCTATGATGGGAAATGAGTTGACTGTGCAGAGAATGTTACATTTTTCTGCATATATCTATTTATCAGATGGCTAATAAAAATGTTTGGCATAAAATTTCATGTAACAGGTTTCCAACAGTTTTGTGTAACAGGTTTCCAACCTCTTCTAATGCTGAAGTCACTACTTTCCACTAATCACTGGTGATCATAGAGACAAGCAATTAGAGCCCTGCACAACAGCTTACCAAAAGCAAGTAGTAGTATTAGTTTTGAATACCTGTTGCATCTAGGAAGCATCAATGTAAGCGATGGAATAAATACCTTCTTTCTTCTCATCTGCACAGCTTATTAAATCTTCCCATTTGTATTTTAAACTGAGTTTACAAAGCAGTCAATCCACAAAAGCCAAATGAAAAATCATCAAGCAACGCAAATGGAAGCTGCTCAAACTCTGAGTTTAAGCTTTGACCATCAGTGAACTCTACCACCACAAACAGCTCAAATGAACCCAAAACTCAAGCGAAATGCTATTAAAGAAAGCAAACCCATCCAAGTGGTTTCTTAGCTTTCCCAGAATATCTGCTTTGTACAGAAAAAAGAAAGCAAACATTAAGAATGCACAAAGAAAAAGCAGTATAATCCATGCTAAAGTGACAACTGAGGAAAACAGACAATATCTGATAGGAAGAGAACAGCGTTCTTTTGGATTTTAGAGGGAATAAATCCATCATTAGTAACAGGGACCAGGAATACAATGCCATACAACAACTCCCTCCTTACCCTCCACTGTCAAACTCTGTTCATTGTAACATACAACGGCTGCTGGTATCAGAGACCCTACAGAAGAACTCACAGAGGGAGACCAGACAGAAGTGACTGAACAATAACCTACTATGATTTTATCTAGCAGGAAAATCCACTATCTCCAGAATACCTCTTTAGAACAAACCCTCCGGCTAGAAACTTTTCTGTCCTCCCTATGCTAAAAACTTAACGATTAAAAAAGATGTGGCTTTAATTTGGAACTTTCCCAAACTGTTTAAAATTTGCATCACTGTAAATTTCAGGCATGTAAGTCTGTGTGTCCCAGAACTGACCCACGTTAGTCCAAATGCATTAACCACCCACAAAAGATATACAGTAAAATGTAATTTCTTACATACGCACCACTTTTACACTTTTAGGCCATTTCAGCCAGCATGCTATCGCTGTGTACGTGTCCAGCTCCCTCCTTCACCACCACAATTGTCAGAAATCCTCACTAATCACTGATCTTATACTTCAAACTATCACTAGAACTTCTGTGGAAAGTAAATGCAATAGCTCATCTGAAACACATTCAAATTCCTGCTGATCTGCTAGGACAAGTACTAGGAATACCCTCACACAGAACGACTCTGTGAAACTCATTTGTAGACACACTTCTTCACACGAGCAAAAAAATAAAAGCGCTGGGACAATCTAACCAAGCTCCTTCTATAATCTGCAGGTTTTAAAGGCTGCTCTCAGTGCTGTCAAATACACAGCCTATATAAGCACAATGTCTGGAGAATTTGCTCCTCACCCATTTTCACTTAAATGCTTTTGGTTGTAACCTTCAGTTAGAATTAATCTCTGGTTGGGATTTAAAATGCTGTTCCAGTTGAGAAGAAGAAAATAAATAAATTAATTTTGATTCCAAACCATTCATAAAAATCTGTCGTGGTTGCTTGCCTTTCATTTGGGCTCTTTGGAATTGTTAGCACCGTTGTATCAGAAAGAAGCACCAGTCGCCCACCTCAGCAGAACTTCACTCATGAAAAAGAAGCAGAGTTCGATGGCTCTGCATTTACTATGGAAAGTACTTTTGTAATGTAAGCTATTCACAAGTTGGTAATCATAGGTAACGTTCAAACCACTTGAAATACTTCCTAAGAATATTTTGCAGCTATTTTTAAGAGTCTTACTGGAAAGCTTTTATTCGCCAGCATTTGGTTCAGAGTACCTACACCCTCCTAATGTATGAAAACAAAAAAAGCTCTTAAACTATTTTTGTTATTATTTTTGAAGTGAAAAATTACACAACTATGCGTACCTCTGATCAAATGTACCCACTCAGCTGTTGGAATCACAGAGCAGAAACAGAAGGAAGATGGGGATAACAAAATCATTGTCTTCCAGGTTCACACTGAACAAACCCACAAACACATCGAATTATACAGTTACCATTGCATTGTATGTTTCCTTTTTACTCCATAAATAAATTTAATAAAATGCAAATACACTTTGCATATGTTCACTCGGGTGGGTGCTTGTGTTCTTATCGCTGTGTCAGAAGAGACAGCGAGTTTTTCTTTTTCTGCCTTGCCTTTACAATTGGAAATTGTATACTTAAGGATACTACAACAAAAATAAATCAGAAAATCAAGTGCTTGGGTCAGAAATACTAACAGCTATTTTACCAGTACTGATTTGAATATAATTTACATGCAAGTACTTCTATTCCTCTTTCACTAAGAGCTACTTATCAGTACTAAAACCTACAAGAATCATGAAAGAAATGTGTGGATTTTCAAAGGTAGGAGTAAAAAGTAACTTCCTCTTCCCCTAAGGGGTACTTTGCCTGCTCTTGCTCTATGTCAACTCCACTTGCCTCTGTCTGTTTTTTGGGCAAGAAAAAGGGCCATCCAGAAAACAACTCAGTAGCGAAGGAGGGAGCTGAAGACAGGACTGACCAACACGCATTGCAGAAAGAATATTCTGGCCCCTGTAAACTCCCTGAATGACTGTTCATTAAGTATATATATATATTGATCAAATCACCCATTGTACTGCTTACTCCCGCACTTGCATATGCCTATTTTCCATCAGCTAAGGAGAAAGCAATGGCAGTTTTATCACACTTGGCACTATGCTGTTATAGTTATCACCAATTCAGTTTATTTCTGTACAGGACAAAACCTAAGAGTGGCTGCATTACGTCAGACTAAGGTCTGTCTTTCCCAGTATCCCGTGGTGACTGTGAACTCTATTTCCATCCCTCAGTCCTTCGTATCTTTTGGCAGAATCACCATTACTGATCCTCTGTACATCCTTCCCTACCTTGTTTTCCCCCCAGTATCACACAGCTACTTTTCATTTTTCTCTTAAGCCACTCACCCCTTTCATTAGAGAGGCCGTGGGGCTTTGTTAGGGGTGAGCATCAGCCTGACTGTAAGAGGAGAAATCAGTAAAGAATATAGGAAATAATATAGGAAGCAGACAAACATCTATGATGCTCCCCTGAAGTACTCCCTCAGACTCCAATCACTTACTACCAGTGATCTCTAGAGCCAAAGGTGGCTTCGAGAGGTGGCCTCAATGCTAGGAAATAGGGCCCTGCATCAAGGTCAAATTACAGTTCTCATCTCAGTCATTACTGCTTACCCACTGAACAGTGTTCAGCATCCTAATTGCACTACTGACATTTTCACATACTTACGCCATATTTTTAATTGTATCTTTGCATTCATACTTACTAGGACTGTATAAGTGACAATTGGCTACTTCTTTTCTAAGGCAGTTAATACTTATTTAGACCTTAAAGGGAAAAACATTACATTATTTGCAGCAATCAGTGACACTGTAATTTTCACTTGCTTCTTACAAGCACTGCAAGGCTGCCATTCAATGAGACAGGAAGGTCTGAAGAAACGTAAGCTCTCTAGCTTTCTCCCAATTAGCATACAGGCAGAATAAGGGCATGCAATGAATATAACAATTTAACAATGGAAGTGCCTCATTCATTACTTTATTTGTATAGAAAGGTCACAGTGCCCTAATTCTGTCAACTAATGAATCAGGATGAGTGATGGGGGCACGAGTCAACTTGGGTCTATGACAAAATAAATATTATTTTCTTAGACTAGAATTAATTCATCTTTGCTAGACAGCTATTATCCAACCTCAGTCTTGTCTCCTGTCTTAACATGTGGCAGAAGTTCTCAGACTGACAGGAAAATGACTACTAGTTAACAAAATACAAGCATTTTCACACGAACAGACAGGTTTGCATACTTTATTCAGTTGAAACAAAGCCATCATTAAAGTACAACAAATTTAAGATCAGAAAATATGATGGCTTCCAATTAATTTTGAAATTGCTGTTCTGGAAGCGCTATGCAAGGGTAGATCACACAGAGCGCTTTCTCTAAACGCTGCCTTCATAAATCATCATTCAAAGTAAAATGCCAGAAAATAAGAAACGCTGCAAGAACTCAAGACCGTAGGAGGGAGATGTACGATGGCACCAGAGCAAGCATTCTGAAAGAAATTGCATAATAATCTGCAGAACCAGACAGTTGATTTCTCTTCCTAAAAATGTGTGTAGTAGGAGTGCCACAGCTAAAGCAACAGTCGCCAAAAAAACTGTTTCTATCTGCACTGGTAACAGCTTAACATCATTGCCATTATCATATAGCACCACATTTGTTCATTTTAAGCTTCTGGAAAGAATATTGCCCTGCTGCTTCAGAAAGAAAAGTGTTCAAGAAACTGGTACAAGAATTATACCCGTAAACATAAGCTACTCATTTAAAACATTATTACATGATGGTGTGCAAGTTCAACACGGTTAAGGTTTGAAAAGCAAGTAATTAGAAGATGATTTTAAAAACCAAGTTGTTCTAAAGGTCTGTAAAGTTCTGACAGTGCTAAAAATAAGTAGGTATTGCCTTGACTGGTGTTAAATAATCTGGGGAGACATTACACAGGTTAGTGGAAAAGAGACCAACTACACCAAGGAAAAGAGAAGTGAGATTTTAAAACCCAAGGCTGCTTCCTAGGGAAAACTCCAGCTCCAGGAAAACAGGGATCCAAGAGGCTTGCAAGTGCTTGTAGTGCCAGGCTGTCTGAGCAAAGAGGAGGGGGTGGTGCAGTGAGCCAGCAGTGAGCCAGCTCACAATCCCTGAGCACCAAGGATGAGCAGGGCAAAAGGACTCTGTGAGAGTGCCTGTAACCTTGGGTCCTTGGGTTGATGATGAGGCACAGCTGCACAGAGTGTAACAGTGAGATTGGACAGCACAAGTTTATGGCCTAATTATCTCCGAAGTACTGCTAACACAACCAACTTTTGGTTTTTGATAAGTCATGCTTCAGAAATACTTTTTTTTTTTTTTTTTTTTCTGCAGCAGCAGCAGCAGTAGAAATAAGAGGAAAGATTCAATTTTTTTACTTGTTAACAGAAAAACATCAAGCTATAAGCTACTCCTGCAGCTCCACAGCAAGCTGCTTGCTAATTCAAAGGAAGTTCTTGATTTTGTACCATAGTGAACAGATGAATAAAAAAAAGAACAGGTCAGACGTGGGTACAGACTTTCTCAATTAGAAAGAAAAAATTAAGCAAACAAACTAGCAATGAACAGCCTAAGCATCAAAAAACATAAACAGAATATGCAACTGTACCTCCAAACCCAGTCATTTTCTGCTTCTCTACTACGTAAGTAAAGCCTTCAGCAAGCACTTGGGATAAAGAAGCATATTTTCTCAATGCTGAAACCGGTAATCTCATAAAAAACAAACCAAAGCTCCTGCAAATCAGGCAGGTCAAAATCACCTAAAGAGAGAAAAGGGTACTCTCAGCTTCCTAGCTTTCCCAGGGCTAACTCCGCATCTCAGGCATTGCCAGTTCTTGTGCTATTTCCTATAGATTTTCTAAAACAAATAGAAACTCATATTCTTTCCCTACAGTTCAGAAATCTAACATATAGACTTCTTTATGCCTTCTTATACAATAATAAAAATCTATCCCTCTAATACTTTCTGCCGTGCACAATGATGATTTCTGGCTTGCACACAGATTACAGTGCAGAAATCCCAAAGACAACCTGCATGAGTAAGAGAATATGCTGTAGCACAGCTACACACTGTTCCTGCTCCTGTTGGCAAGAAGCTGGGGCTGGAAAAGCCTTAGAGTCCAAGGAGAGCACCAAATGAGCTCTGATAGACTGTTTCCAGACTCAGGCATACAGAAAGCTGAGGTCCTACTGCACGACAGCCTCCAGTACTCTTGCATCCAATTGTAACTAAGGTAGAGGTAAATAACTACAGGCAACCTTAGAACTGCTCCTGGCTTTGCCCTCAGAAGTCACTCCCACGTTGAGCCTGTTCAGTCGCTTCAAGTGGTTAAGGCTACCAAGCTACCAAGCTTCTTCATCCTCATTATAAAATGGAGTAGTAATTTGTAGTAAGTAAAGAGGGAAAATAAAATAAACAACCAACAAAGAACTTATCACAAGCACGTTGTTTAAAAATGCAGGCAGATGGCTTACCATGTAACTAGACATGCTCCAAAAGAAATGCCTCCTATTTATTCCCATGGAAACTACAACAGCTACAATGAACATAACATTATTTGATAGAATAAATTCTCAGCTACAAAACACTATTTTGCGACACAGTACCTAATGTTAGCTAGGCACATCTCCATAAACATTCAGCACGCACTGATGAATGTCAGTGGGAGCT